GGTTATAAAAGGCTCCTACCCCCCAGAAACGAGGTATGCTAACTTTTGCGCTATCTGGTCTATCTTGCCTTTGAAAAAATCTAACTTGAGCTTCGGAGCCCTTACGCCGGGTTCTCCCCGGAGCTTCTCTTCTCCCTCCGTTTCAGGTCCCTACCACCCGGTTTAGAGGCAAGATCGTTGACAGCTAAGATCGGTCGGATTGTGCACCATCAGTTTTATACAGAAAAGATGGGTCTGGCTCTTTGATTTCACCCTCTCACACTCGTGATCTCCTTTTTCTGAGTCGTTGCTTATTTGTTTCCACGAAAGCTACTAAACTGAACTTTTATATAAAGTTTATGGGCCAAGGCGGCTTGTGGACAAGTTTGAAAAGTCTGAAGCAAATGGTGATAAATTAGAGATGGGCTTCACGATCTGTTGAGTGTGTACACGTCGACAGTTGAGTTTGCAAGTTGGTAATTGCTTGCAATTTTTATGGGTAATATATACATTCCTGCAATGTATTGGGAACATCTCCCAATGATAATACCAAAAATGATGATGTCATCATCGGGAAATGTTTTTGACACGGCGGTGATGTGCTGTGGGACGTTGTGGGGGGTTGATTTGAACTTCATATAAACCTGCAACCAAAGATTGAAAACATTGGTTTCTGATGCGTTAATTTTTTGTGCTAAGTACCTCATCATTTGGTTTGCTTCCAAGTGGCCGATGACTCAGAGGCTGAAGTGAACTTTTGCTGGATGCCGAGCTGACTAAGCCGAGCTGGGGGCCGATTAGGTGCCGAATTAACTGTGCCGGGCTGGGCAGGTTAGGTGCCGAACTAACTAGGCCGAGCTAGGCAGGTTAGGTGACAAGTTGACCAAAGTGCCAAGTTGCTTATTAGGTGCCGAGCTGACCAGAGGGCCGAGCTGCCTATTAGTTGCCGAGCTGACCAGAGGGCCTAGATTCCTATTAGTTGCCGAGCTGACCAGAGGGCCGAGTTGCCTGGTGGCAAGCTGAATTGATTGTTGAGCTTCGTAGTTCTTTAGAGACCTGCAAGGAATCAATGTCTGAGGACCCGGGGTGGCTAACCCGGTGAGGTCGCTCCAATGCTTAAGTTAGTACTCTCATAGTAGACTACAAGCTAAAAATCACAAAGTATGAGAAGTAGAATATGCTTATTTGCCCCCCCCCTATACCATTGGGGTTGGTGCCTTTATATAGGCATTGTTTGGCGTGGACTTCATGCACCGTGGTGGAAATAGGGTTTCTGTATTTGATAGCTATAAACGATCGAGTTTCGATCGGCTATCAAAACACAATCCCAACAATGTTCCAACCAGCCATTGCAACCTTAGACAAGGGGAATGATAGATGATAGAGGAAGATAATTTCAATATGTAGCTATAGTGGTTTCTTGGAACAGTGTTGGGAGAATTTTATAGTTAAGATTTTTAAGAGTGGACTGAATCCTGTGCGTGGATTAATGTTAAATTCACGAAAGCTACTAGTAGGTTAAAGAGGGCCATAATTCAGATTTCTTAGGTGGATTTAAGGCCATTTGTTCCTTTTTTATATTTATGGTAGGTACAATTAGTGGGCAATTTTGAAGGTCGTACTAGGTTCCACCTACATTAGCTATCCACTTGTAGATCATCGGTTGCATACTTTTCTTTGGTTCTAGGCGGCTGGTCTCCTTTGTTTGTTTGTAGACCAATTCAAACATCATAATTCAGTTCAATATACCAAGTTCCAGGAAATTGCATGTTAGATTAATCGATTCAGAGATGTGTATAGATAGTATCACTTTCATGAATTACAAGACACTCCTCCAGCTAGGTCGTGGTTATCCATTATACATAGTACCGACGTAGCTAGAGGGAGAGGATGGTCGCCAAGGCGGCTGTCATGTGGCCTCCTTTGCAAGTTCAACCATAATCCAAACACATATATATATATAGCATGTTTTAAATGATGAATTTGGGGGTCAAAAGTTCGATGAGTGAAAAAATCCTATGCTTAAGGAGATTTTTTTATCCAAACTGGGAAGGAGGTCGTTTTCTTAATAATGAATTCATTTACATTAGAAAATCTTTTATAAAAAATATTATTACTTATTTATGGTGAAATTTCATTTGTACTGGTTCAAAAGTATGAGAGTGCAAATTTTGATGTATTAATTCCTATTTCATCTTTCTTTTTTTTTTATTGTTTGATTGCACTGCAGATGAAATGGTATAAAATCTGAAGCAAATTAAAACCAAAAACAAAAATGAATTAGAATATATATATATATTCACGGTACCAGAATAAATGGTTGGGGAGTGCAAATGAAAGAATACAAATTCTGGTTTAATTTTGTTTTAGATTTTATTTTATTTTAGGTCTTACTTTTTTTAGAATGAATATAGGAATAGGACATCATATGCTGTAAAACTCCACAAACTTCCCATTATTTTAATTGAAAACTGCAAATGGCAAGATTGCATCATCACATTTCACATGCATGAAAACCAGAAAAGGGTCACTGGACACTGGCTCGATTCAATGGTTAGACCATTTGAGCCACCGGTCGATCGACCTGGGTAGGGAATCAACCAACAACGCCACATACGGGTACGACCATGCTCCACCAACCCTACTCAGAATCAGAAGTCC